TTAATGAGATCACATCATTAGGAGAGTGATGTGATTGACTTGACCCATTCCGTTAGCTTTGCACTTGATCGTTTAGTATGTTGCTATTGCTTTCTTCATGACTTATACATGTTCCTATGACTATGAGATTATGCAACTCCCGTTTATCGGAGGAACACTTTGTGTGCTACCAAACGTCACAATGTATCTGGGTGATTATAAAGGTGCTCTACAGGTGTCTCCAAAGGTACTTGTTGGGTTGGCGTATTTCGAGATTAGGATTTGTCACTCCGATTGTCGGAGATGTATCTCTGGGCCCACTCGGTAATACACATAACTATAAGCCTTGCAAGCATTGTAACTAATGAGTTAGTTGCGGAATGATGTATTACGAAACGAGTAAAGAGACTTGCCGGTAACGAGATTGAACTAGGTATTGAGATACCGACGATCGTATCTCGGGCAAGTAACATACCGATGACAAAGGGAACAACGTATGTTGTTATGTGGTTTGACCGATAAAGATCTTCGTAGAATATGTAGGAGCCAATATGAGCATCCAGGTTCCACTATTGGTTATTGACCGGAGACGTGTCTCGGTCATGTCTACATTGTTCTCGAACCCGTAGGGTCCGCACACTTAAAGTTCGGCGACGATCGGTATTATGAGTTTTAGTGTTTTGATGTACCGAAGGTAGTTCGGAGTCCCGGATATGATCGCGGACACAATAAGGAGTCTCGAAATGGTCGAGACGTAAAGATCGATATATTGGACGACTATGTTTGGACACTAGAAGGGTTCCGGGAGGTTTCGGGCATATACCGGAGTATCGAGGGGTTACCAGAACCCCCCGGGAAGTTAATTGGGCCTCATGGGCCCTAGTGGGAGAAGAGGAGGGGCGGCCAGGGCAGCCGCGCGCCCCTCCCCTCTAGTCCGAATTGGATAAGGAGGGGGGCGACACCCCCCTCTTTCCTTCTCTTCCTCTCTCCCTTCCTTCCCTTCTCCTACTCCTACTTGGAAGGGGGGAGTCCTACTCCCGGTGGGAGTAGGACTCCTCATGGGGCGCGCCTAGGGAGGCCGGCCTCCTCCCCCTCCTCCACTCCTTATATACGGGGAGGGGGCACCCCTTGGAGACACAACAATTGATCATTGATCTCTTAGCCGTGTGCGGTGCCCCCCTCCACTCGATAATATCGTAGTGGTGCTTAAGCGAAGCCCTGCGTCGGTAGCATCATCATCACTGTCATCATGCCGTAGTGCTGACGAAACTCTCCGGTGAAGCTCTGCTGGATCAGAGCTCGCGAGACGTCATCGAGTTGAACATGTGCTGAACTCGGAGGCCGCGCGTTCGGTACTTGGATCGGTCAGATCGTGAAGACGTACGACTACATCAACCACGTTGTGCTAACGCTTCCGCTTTCGGTCTACGAGGGTACGTGGACACACTCTCCCCTCTCGTTGCTATGCATCACCATGATCCTGTGTGTACGTAGGAAAATTTTGAAATTACTACGTTCCTCAACAATCCGGCTCCACGTATTCCTTTTGTTCATGATATTGCTTCCAAATCTTCTCCCAATACTTGTTCCTCTTTTGCACGGTGCCGCATATTGGATCCATTGTTGTGGCCAACCAACTTTGACCAACAAGATATCCTCAATGTTGTGAATGTCAGACCTCTTGCATTTGTCGTCTTTGCCTTCTTCTTGATCGAATTGGGATTTTATGTTTTCCAACTTCAAATGAAGGGCAATTTGGATCACCCAATTCGTAGTCCATTTGGGTCAGACCTTGATTATCATTAATCATGTCCGACATGAACAACTCTAAATGATCATGGTTTGCAAGCATTCATCATGTCCAAAAATAGCGGTGTATGCAAAACAATGAATATGGCGTATTCAAAGTTGATCGAACATGAGGAACAAGAACATACCGAGTAGTATTGCATCATGCCGTCAACAGGTCGTGGGCAGCCTGGGCGCTGCTGGTGCCTATGTTTGTCCGCGCCTGAGTGAGCTACGGTGAGTGACAGACGTCCACCAGCAACATCTGTGTGGTGCAAAGCTATTTGAAATGCCCCAATTGGCTGTCAGATCCTCCTCTGTCCCAACCTGGTCCGACGGTGCAATCCTTGCCGGCGGTAGGATGGGTGGGGTGCGGGCTTCAGGCCGCGGCGAGGGGGACAACTGCTCGTCCATGTCCGCATCCGCTCCATGCGATGCCACCGCTTCCTTCTCTCGTTGCCAGCGGCGCCAGTTTCTCCGGGTGATGTTCTCTGACTTGCACGACAAAGCCGAGGACGGACACGGGCTGTTGAGACGGACACAACCTCTGTCGCAGCGGTCGGGTACGGGTTGGACGGCATCTAGGACGACGAATTGGAACCGGCGGTGAGGATGGGGAGCAAGGGTGGCAGATGGCAAGGGCTCAGAGGCGGCAAAGGTTGGAGGAAGGGGGATGAGGGGGAAGTTTGGTGGTTTTGGTGCAATTTGTGGTGGCGTAGGGCTGTCGGGTTCGATATGGAGGACGCGCCCGGGCGCCCCCTTATCTGCCCTATTTTTGGTCTAGATATGAGGGGTGGCGGTCAGCCCGGGCATTTTGAGGCGCCCGTCCGGGACGGGCTTTCTCGACCGGTCAGTGACCGGGGCATCCGCCTGGGCGTTTGAGGCGGATTCGGCCGCTCGACTGCAGATCCCCTTAGGAGGACACTGCTATCTCTAGCCTACCAGAGTTCGAGTCCTAGACTTAGGGCCTGTTCGGCAACACTCCAGCTCCGAACTCCACGACCGGAGCGGCCGGAGCGTGCCGGACGCATCAGCTCTGCGAGTCTGTCGCGGAGAGCGGAGCGGCGCGCAGTGCAATTTCACAGAGCGGCATGACCCTCGCTCCTCGTTTCACCAGAAGTAGGATCTAATCGAAATTACAAAACGTTCCACCGCCAAGTGCCACCAATTAAACGGTACAAATCTATTCTCTCCAGCGTTAGCAGTTGGTGCTCCACTCGTGGATTTTCTTACCCACCCGAACAACCCATACTTGACCGTAATGCGCTGCCAGCCAACGTTCTCACGGAGCAGAGCCAGCCGAACACAAGCGCTCCATCGGGAGAGCGCTTCCTGCGGGGAGCGGAGCGGAGCGACATGTTTTTATGAAGTGGAGGTTTGTCGAACGGGCTCTTAACATTTGTCATTGCATTATTCCTGGATTTATTTCAGCCTTCCGGCGATGTTCGTTTAGTGGGTGGAGACGTTCTCGTCGACTACGAGACACCTAGGGTGACTTCGTAAAGATCTTAAGATGTTATACTTGCTCGCTCTCTCGGGATGCTTATATGATGTGCGTGTGTGTGTTTATAGGTGCGAATGTATGCTTGTATATGTGAACGGCTTCGACTGTACTGTATTTAAAAAATTGATATGTTTAAGATTCTAGTAAAAAAAGTTAAATACTCCAGTAAATTATACTGTAAGATTTGATTTGATCTGGTTGATGGCCATTGGTATTTGGGAAGCTCTTGCGCAAAATGTCCTTCGATTGTTGACAAGCAGTTTATGGCAAAAAGCCCCTAAAAAAGGAAGTTTATATTGACAAAAAGAAAAGGAGGCAGTATAATTTTTTTCAGAGAAAAAAAAAGGTGGGCACACAGGCACTGGGCTATTTCTGCTTTAGCGAAGAGCTCTCTAGGCCTAGCCAATTATAGACCGGTCCATAGTTGTGGAGCTGTCATGGGCCTGGCCCATTTGTCCCAGAGAAGCTCACAGCCGCACGGCAGGCACAGGGCGCGGTGGAGATTAGTCCCACCTCGCCCGCCCAGGCGAGCTGCCAGCGGAGGGATGCTATATAAGGAGCATCCGGGCGGCATGAGGAAAGCACGCAGCTGCGCGGTGAGCACAAAGCGAACTATTCTTTCGCCTTTTACTAAAGAATACCGTGTGCATGCCGCAAATAGCAGCATACGCTAATTTTTGAAGGGATTCTCCTACTGCTGGAGGGCCCCACAATTCTCAAACTCAAATTTTCACAAGAATGTCTTGCAGGATTTCTGCATCTGTATCTCTGAAGCGAAGTCTTCTTTCAGGCGGGCTGCTTGCACAATAGTGCGTTTGATTTTTACCGTTAATTCGCTCTTGATGCTTGTTTCATATAACGGTCTGTTTTAACTTCATCTGTTCCGGAATGATGTATTTAAGCAATAATCGTGATGCTTGATTTAACAGTTATCTCAGTCTTACTCTGTCTTGCTGCTCTTACAGAATGATGTGTTTCAGTCTTACATGTACCACTGCTGATGGCAAAAAAAAATAAAAACTAGTTCTAGTCATGCCATGAAAGTTTTGGTATGTATGATTTTAGTCAAATCAAATCATAGCATTAGCATGGTAGAAACTTTTCTGATTACAGTATGAGTGCGCTACTATTCAGCACATTCGTCGCAGTTGAACAAAAAAGGAACCAGTACGATCATGAAATTTTAGCATCAAATTTGCAGGCTGAAATTGTGAGAAAGATGTCTTGGGGCAGACACAAATAAGCTTTTTATACATGATGAATGCACAAAATCTATGTACAGAGACTGCTAGGCTATAAAATCTACGAAGATGAACAATGGGCTAAGAATCTAAGATTGTTAGCTTGAATCTAAAGGGGTTCCCTACAGGATTTGCATGCTGTGCTCCATCCCACGGCTGCGCTGAAAACATGATTTTACTCCAGACTTGTTTCCTCGGCTAAGTTTCCAGATCCAGAAACCTGCGTAATAATGTGAACATTAGCGAGCCAACACGTGCACCGCGACTCAAAATCTAGTGAAATCTGAATGTGAGAACTACCTGAGCATGAGAGCAGCGGGTACTTATGTCTTCACCCGCCGGTGAGCTTGAGTTAAACAAACACCAATCGGCAACACTTCATCCAAGTATGTCAAGATGTAACCGAACAGATGGGACCAAAGTTAGTAGGAATGCTGTCAAACGGCTATCCACAGACCATGGACTAAACTTATTTATTGATGACCCATTCACTTCACGGTACGCACACCGATGGTTCTGACTTTGAATTTATACCGAGGCAAGTCATCTTCCTCATCATCCTCGTCATCTTCACTCGAATCATCCTCAACTTTGTCCCATTTCGAGTAATCAAGCCCTGAATGGCCCTTCGGTTTTTGGATGGTCCCCCGACACTCGGGTTTTGAAGGCAGACTGGGAGACACTTGAACCTTTGGAGCTTCCGTTAAAGGTTCCTTGTGATCAAGCTCTGAATGGCCCTTTGGTTTTTGTATGGTCCCCCCACCCTCGGGTTTTGAAGGCAGATTGGGAGGCACTTCAACCTTCAGAGCTTTTGTTACAGGTTTATTCTCAAGAATCACTTTTGCAGAAGGTTGATCAGACTTAACAACGACAGTCTCATTCTTTGTATTGTCTTTTGGTGGCAGATCTTCTTTGTCTTCTTCAGTATACAGGGACTCCTCTTCAGACTCTGGAATGGGGGCTAGCGACTTCAAAGTTCACAATCATGCAAGAGACAGGCAGTAAAACTTGGTCAGTCAACTCAAGAGATAGAATTGTTTGAGCATCCAAGAGCATAAAGAAGAGAGAAGTTGATACACTGATGTCAACTGCCAAAAATTTACATTCTAAACAACAAAGCCATGCTCTGTTCCTTAAATCTTGCTTTCGAATTATTGAAGGGATATCCTTGTACTTATATATACTTACATCTGATGGCACTGCATTTGAAGTAAAGCTTATGCAAGAAACTAGAACAGATTCAGTTAAAGAAGCATACCAGCTGTGTCTTCAGTCGAGCATGAAGATTCCTATATACTTCAGAGGATGGATTTATCTCAATTAGCCGGTTTACATCAAATAGAGCCGACTGGTAATCTTTTAGAGTGACAAGAGTCTGGGCACGTAGCATCAGAGCTCCAGCATGCTCGGTATCCAACTCGAGGACAGATGTGCACTCTTCTGCAGCCTATAAGATTATGATAAAAGAAGAAAATTCAGTGTTGCTAACCATGATGATAACATAGAAAAAAGTACAATAAATGATGTCAGGAGTACTTATTTCAGAGAAATACACAACCACTGTTGTTTTAGTCGCCTGCACACCATCTACTACAGTATGCTTCGTAACAGTGCACATTTCTCATGCACATATTAGATCATCAATGCAGATATACTTTTTTTTAGCCCAATACAGATATACTTGACTACTCAATGGAATTTCATTTTAACACCACAATAAATTTTCACCATAGAAACAGTCCATTCAATATCAAAACCCAGTCGGTCAGATGTATCAGTCAGGCTTCACAAAAGTGCTAGACGGTTCAGAGCCTGAGACACGGTTAAAAATTTCGCAAGTCCATGGTTCAAGCATTGTTCACTAGTCCATCGGAAATGCTATGTAGTATGTACACGTTCAGTTTTTATCTTCTGCACGTCTGCTAATTTTGGGAAAGCAACAACCAAAGCAAGGTATCACTTGGCCTGGCAGCTTAACCAATTCAGTCAAGGCAGTAAACTGGATTCTGATACCCCTTACAGCGCTAAATTTAGCAGCAGGTCAGCCAAATTTAGACACCACAACGGTAAACAGGGTACGATTCATGAGCTGTGCTGGCAAATCGTGGCCACAAAGATCATGATAAGAGAGCGATTCAAGCACCCTAAAGCCCACAGGTTCGCGGAAATCTCGAAACCCAGAGGGCTAAAGACCATACCTTCGCCCTAAACGACAACCCCAGGCGCCCGCCGCACCGAAATCTACCCAGAGTCAAATCAATCCAGGACAAGTGTAATCAGCAAAGGGAAGCCGGGGAACGACGAGACCTTGTGGAAGTCGTGGAGCTTGAGGTAGCAGGCGGCGCGGTTGCTGTGCAGGGCGATGCGCTGCGCGGGGCCCCGCGCCGCCGCCAGCGCCGCCGAGTAGAGCTCGAGCGCCTCCCGGTGGCGGCCGCCCCGGTAGAGCTCGTGCGCCCTCTCCACCGCCTCCGCCCCCGCCATCCTCACGGTACGATCTGGGGCCGAGCGAGCCGGAGCTTGATTGATTTGGGGGAGGGGAGGGAAGGTCGTGGAATTTGGGGGGATACTAACGAGGGGAATCGAGAATGACCTGTTGTCGGGCGCTGGGGAGATTTGAAGGCGTTTGAATGTGCACGGATGATAGCGGGTTGTCGGGCGCGGCCGCGAGGAACACGGCCGAGATTGTCTCGCCCTTTACTCTTTCCGCGAATTGACGGAATTGCCCCTCGTCCAGAACCTCGATCTTTCCGAGTCCTCCACAGCTGGGAGCCCGTGTTGTGGTTGTAGCTTGTGGTAGGTGCCTAGGTGGTTGGTGTGAGGAAATGGAAAAGAATTGTGGGTGCGTATGATCTTAGCACTACTGTTTTGACAATCTGAGTGAAATCATTTTTTTCAAGTTTTGTAAAATTAGAAGCAAAAATATACATACAAAGACCGGAATTGTTATCTGGCTGACATTCTCTGGGAAGGGGATGACAAAACGAACACATTTTGATGACAGTTTTAGTTGCGACGCGAGATCAAACAACGACAGTTTTTAGAAAAATATATATTTCTCTGAAGAAATTGTCAGTAAAAAAAAGTTTCAAATGCCATCCCTCCTAGCAAACGTTCACTGCGTATTGGAATCCATAAAGAATGGGTAGCAACTTATCCGTCTTAGTTTTCGTACGAAAGTATGATGCCTTGGCGGTTCCAGTTCAAAGCTTCCCCAATTGTCGAGATTTTATTTTGACCATCAGTTAGACCAATATTCAGTGAGTTATATGACACAAAAGTTATACCGATGAACATTTTTCAAATATGAATTCATTGGATAATTTTTGTGACACGTAACTCACATTTAATTCATGAGTTGTACAAACATCACAAATTGAGTCACACAGGTACTACAAAACAACTGTGTAACTTGTGTTCACATTTGATTTATCACATAATGCAAATGAACGTATATTCTCACAACAATGATGCGGATAGGTTTCTACTTACGTGTACGATCATAATGTAATTTTTCTAAGTTTTATAAAACGAGATCGTATGTATTCAGGTTATGAAAATCCACACCCGGTCAGTATGTATTCCCTCTGTACACTAATGTAAGACGTTTTTATAGTTCAAGTCTCTTTTTTTCATACAGAGGTATTGCTATGGAAGGGGGCGTTACGTTATTGTTTTGGGACATTTTCAAATACTGGTCGTTGCCCTTCTACAAGAGAAGTTATTTTTAATATCAGAGAATTGACCTTATACATGTTGAATTTGCAATTCCCGTGTACACCTATAATGGTGTCGGAAAGTGCTACCCAGAGAATGGGCATATGGATAGCAAAAGTCAAACTTTTTAAGTTTTGAAAATTAAGAATCCTTTTTTCTTTGTCGATGTAAAGGATTGATAGAAACTTAACATCTACTATCTTTTTGTAAAGAACATGGATATAAAATGATTGGCACAAAATTACAAGATGATTCTCGCATAACAAATTATGTAACTTACAATGTAGGTTGTATGCCAAAAATAATTCTGTAAATTTTAACAACTCAGAAATGGTGTGTTTTTTTTATCAATATTTTGACAAGAGGGGTTTAGGCAAAAAAAATGTTCCCAGTATTGGCTGGGTTTTTTCATAATTTTTTTCTAAAATATATAGGCAATTTCTAAGCTAAAGTTTTGTAAAAGCATTTTATGCACTCGTGTTCTAATTACGGAATATTTGCCTTATACCAATTTTTTTTGTCTGGAGCCAGATGCTTACTTAAAAGGGGCCAAAATAGGCATATCGGGCGAGGTGTTTTCCTCCATGCTCTCGCGACCAAGGCGAACTGGCAGGCGGCCGATCTATCCACCTCATGGGCGTTGACTTTGGGACCCCTTTTCTATGTCTGTCGCTCCGACGATGGGAGAGGGCCGAGACCCCATGGTTTCGGTCCATTAGCGGTACGAGTACGGATAACTTAGGGTTTGTCTCCAATTATCGACTCCAACGAGATGATGGTGGCGTGGTTGGCATGAAAGAAACTCTCACTGTCTTGCCCACACTCTTGTGGCGATTCTTACCGCCATGAGGCTTGCGAGGAATTGTGTGGTCCTCGTGGAGGTAGCGGCCGCCAACGCTTCATTGTTGAGATGGTCTCTTGAGCTACCATCCACCTCGAAGTCTTTCGGTGGGACGGAATCACAGACCTCTGACGTGGATTTTCGTCGTCTCCTTAGGACAACGAGCTTAGGGTTTCTCATCATGCGGACATGTCGTCAAGTTCTTGTGTCAGATGATTCAGACCGATTCAAGGGTTTGACAATAGCGCATGCGCGGTCTCTAGGTGCACATGCATGAAACTTTTCAATTGTCGTCAACAAGATCAAACTGGACCCGGTGGGTGCAACGAGAGCACCGCGTCATCGGTTTGTTCTGGTGGTGACATCGTTCATTCTATAGTCCGGCCTCAATGTTTTTTTATTATATGTGGTTGCTTATAAGATAATAAGGGGTTTTCTGCAAATTGAAGCAGAGAAGTGGGCTATCTCTACTTCTATAAAAATCTGAGTTGGTGATGATGGTGTGCCTGCCATCTTTCATCAATAGCCGTCGGATCTAGATCTGACGCATACAAAACAAACTGCTACAGTTTTGCAAAAAGATGCCCGCACATGTTTCCATATTTACAAACAACTCATTGTCTCTCACAATCAGCCTTATCTCTTCCCCACCACATCCAAAAGGCCATGGAACAATCTGGTGTGATGGCTGCTGCCGACGCCGTCCACCCCCAATCTTGTTGTTCCGTGCAATGCACGGGCATCTTACTAGTTGTTGCATAAATGTCACAACTTACCTCACAGCCGTTAGATGCAGATTTAATGGTAAGAAATGACGGATGGCAGACACATCATCATCACTAACTGAGCCTTTTATAGGAGTAAAGATAAGAGGAGATCTCTTTGTTTTTTTTACACTACCTTCATTTAACAATGCAATGCGCCCACGCTTCTCAAGATTCAAGTTTGACCGTAAATTGAACCAACGTGACCGACTGCGTCGGGAGCAAAAATTATGCCACTGAATTCATATTTTTTTATATGAATTCAGTGATATGATTTTTGCTCCCGTCACAATCAGTCTCGTTGATTAAATTTACAGTCAAATTTAAATATCGAAAAACGCAGGAGCACTACATTATGGAATGAAGGGAGTATATGCTTAGTCCTAAAAGGCCTGCACGTGCGTGGATTGTGTAATGCAAGACACAAGACACTTACGCTCCTACAAAATCATTAGAGACGAGAAAGGGAGCCGATCGAGGAAAGGAAAGAAAGTAAGCGTGACGAACGAGACGCACCCACGAAGGCAGAAAAAAAGTCAGCGGAACACGGCACTGATCGATATGTCCAGCGAGGGATACGACGGCACGAAACACCTGTACTCACTCGTACCAACCATGTGGTTCCATGCGTGACGCACGGGCAAATTCAACGGGGGTTGGTGGGTGTTGCGCTAGGCGGCGGCTACGGCTACGGCCACCCACTTTGCTCCGACCTCCCTCGCGCCGCATGATAAGAAAATAGGCAGTTTTTTGATTAAATTAATTCATGAATAAATCATGAGCATGATATGGACAACATTGATAACACACTGATTACGATCTAACAGAGCATGTATTATGCATATAGTAGAAACATCTACGCATATCGCTAGTACTGCTACAACAAAAAGAAACACGAGAGGAATAAACGATATATACCCTCCAATCGGCCACGCGGCGGTGGTGGCGGTGGCAGCAGCCGCGGCATCCTCGGCGGCCTTCTTGTCGGCCTCGACCTTCTCAGCGGCGGCACGGTCGGCGTCGGTCGACATGGTAATGACGAAGGTGATGCGGACGTAGATGAACAGAAGCGAGCAGTCGCGTAGTCGCTACCCAAAAACCTAATCGCCCCTCTCCCGTACATGATCCGGAGAGGCGGGGTTTCAGAGGCCTGCTCTCCCGTCAACCGTGTACGCGGTGAACGGGACGGAGTCGCCGGCGGCAGCAGCAGCAGAGGAACGACGTGGGCGTGGAGGCGGAGATGCGTTCTGTTTCGTGTCGGCTAGGATGTGCGTCCGCGCCGATGTCTCAGATCGTGGCCCTATCTGTCAAAGACTCTCCGTTCCTGACCGGCAAAAAGAAGCGCATAGGAGTGAGCTCGGCTCGGCTCAATCCCGAAACCCGCGGCGCGGCGCGGCGAGGCGAGCGAAGGAGGAGTGCGCGAGGGCCTCATCTATTCTCAAGCTCCAATAGCATGAGGGAGAGAATCCCTTATAAACCACTGCAACTCTCCTTTCACTTCCGGGGGGGGACTAAACTTCCCACCACCTTGTCATGCCACCTACATGGGCCCTTTGAGATTAAATCTGAAATTGTCATATGGGCTCTAGGCCCATCTCATATTTCAACAACCCCCCACCAGATCTCAGGGGCCCAGTTTGTCCTTTGTTCCAAACGCTGTTTTGATATACCAGCATCTTAGTGGAGACCGATTAAGGTTGAGCTCCACCTAGACCAAGTAGTTACACTCCTTCACAACTGAACAATGGACTATACCTTGAATTGTCAGTTTGGCGTAAGAAGTTTCACCACAAGTCTCACTTATACGAGGCTGCCGAAGGCCGACCCCTCGGGTGGAGCATATTAGTCGCACTCCTGGCCTGTTCATGAGCTTGCTAGAGATCACCCCAATCACATAGACTGTGACCAGCAGTCGGGCTCATATAGGCGTGTTCCTCCAAAGATTGCTCTGTAGGATAGCATCTTGCTTATGCATATAAGCCTTGGAACACATTAAGACAGTAGTCATCCTTCCATACAGTTTCCGAGAGTATTGCATCTCCAACGGAGTGGGTTAGTAAAGTTACTCTCCTCAGTTCACCGCTGGCTTGTTTTCCCAGGTCCTATTCACGGGATCTCTGATCACATAGGTTGGGTTACTACCATGGCAACTCATGTGGGTC